TTACGTACATTACATAAAGCACTACATATTGTTATATGTAGTGCTTTATGTTAATGTAGGGATTTCTTGTATTTTCTTGTATTTTATACAATTTAACTTCATGGTTTTTTACAGAAAAGACTAAAATTGCAGAGAATTTCATATTCAAGATGAAGAAATATTGCAGTTACTTATGGCGATAGTAGTGACGGAGAAGATAACTTACTACTGACTACAGTTAGACGAAGAAGACCAGCAGTTCATAGCTCAAGATGTAGAAAATGGAACCAATAATGTTGAAATTGAAGATTCTGTTCAAGAAGTATCACCAACATGTAGCACGAGGTCTAATATTTTTTTTATGGGAAGAAAGCGGCAAACGAGCAGGAGGCTCACCTGATGGTAAGTGATCACCGCCGCCCATGGACACCTGCAACATCAGAGGGTATACAAATGCGTTGCAAGCCTTTTAGGAAAGAGTATGGTCTCTTTTATGACACACCGGCGGCAGCTGGTTCCACAGAGCGGTTGTACGAGGCAGTAAATGTCTTGAAAATCTCGCTGTTGAGGAACGCTGGAAATCGAGGTGGTGTGGATGAAATTTTTGATTCTGACGCGATGTCCGATGGTGAAATTCAGCCGCCGGAATCAATCCAAACAATTCTTCGGAACTATCCCCGTGATAGGTGTGGGCGAACCGAGCTTCTTTGAAGCCAATTTGGCCTTATTTTCCAATTGACCCCGGAACTGGACATTGCTCGAGATTTCGACGCCAAGTATTCCGATATTTTACATGTAGACAGCAAACAAGAATCACTTAAGTCTCCTCTGAAAAGCTCCGCATTGGAAATAAACGCAGTTTGCCACCGCACATCATGAAAAAAGCAGAAAAACTGAAGCGATACGGAAACAAAACGACGTATAGAAAATAGGACACATAATAAATGTGTTATGTGCAATGTCCACTTGTGCTTCACAAGTAAACGAAATTGTTTCGTAGAATACCATAACTAATTATTTATTTTACTTTTCTGATAATTTTTACTGTGTTTTTTGTATTACAAAGCAATAAATAAAATACCAATAAAATGAACCTTACTCTTTATTTATTTACTTTTATGGTCCATAGGGAAAAATATTTCCCATGAAATTATAGGAAACCTATACACCCTTCTATGTTTTTCTGCAGATATCCTCTTACTTTATACCCACAATAGCTAAAATATTGTGTTGTATCGGCATATTTAGTCTTGGACATCTTATGGTCCTGTAAGGGTTAACAAACAAATATTTGTTTAAATATTATCAAATAATCACAAGAAACAAGCTAATTATAATTTTTCAAGAAAACTGCATTAAGTCTACTTAATAAGCCAACAAGAATGACGTAATTAAAAATAATATTTTAAATTGCATTTTTGTGAATTATTAATAGTGTAAGTATTTGAAATACACCAATATTTATTTAGGTTTAAATCAGCTATAATGTATAAACTCGAATTAATAATTTAACTTTTGCATACCTGATTCAACAATAAAGTTTCAATTCAAATTAAAGCGGTCTAAAACGCCGAGCGGCACGTCCTTGGTCGTTAAATTTCGATGTAACTAAAAATGATGCATTATTGGGTAGGGTTTTACGACAGATATTCAATCGTGGAACACTGACTTTTGGCGCCATCCGTTATTTGTTTTTTGCACTATTCTAACGACGGTCTTATTGACGTGTAGGGGACTAAATTTTGCATTTGAATATGAAGATATCTCAAATTTGACATATTTTGAGTTGCAACACTATTGTATTATTAGTGCGATATATAAAAAAAAAGCTTCCGTACGTTTGTGTCGACAAAGGTCAAAAACTAGCCAACTTATTAACTTGATATTTGTTCACAGCTTAGCTTTTGAACAGGATACTGTTTATTCAGAACTTAAAACAGAAACGAAAAAAGCCGCAGGCGACACATCTACAATGATAAAGAATTCGCAATCTTACAAAAATTTTAAAATGTCATTGTGTTGTCTTTATAACTAAGGATTTTTATTAAATTAGACGACGGAATAGGTTTATATGTACCATATAGGACAACATGCGTAATGGTGGCGGCGATACACGATGATGATGAACATGGACCCTGGCCCTAGACTGTGGGCGATGTTTATGGCTCAAGCCATAATCCCACAGGAGTGAAGGAAGATAGGCAGACTCGTCCACATTCGGAAGGAAGGGCGTCCCGCCTCATCCTCCGCCTATCGGCCGATAGTGCTGCTCGACGATATGGGTATATTCCTTGAGGGTCGTTGCCGGTCGCATCGTCAAGCATCTGGAGCGCGTCGGGCCTAATTTTGCGGGCGGAGAGGCAGTTTGGGTTCCGAAAGGAAGCCAATCGGCTTACAATACTCGCAGTTTTGAGAGTGAAGTCCATCGCACCAGAAGCAGTTTCTCAAGGTGAGGTCATTTTGGCGGTGTCTCTTGACATCGCTAATGTCTTCAATACCTTGCATCATGGAGTCAGGATATATTAATAATTTAATGTCAATATCAAGACATTTTAACAAGTCACTATAAGGGAGATCTGAATAGTCTTTAACGATGGCTCATTTCAACTCACAATAGATGCTACAACATATTTTACGATTGTCCACTTATAAATAACTTATGATCTTAATAGAATCTGCACCAATAATTGGTTGTTTTATATCGGCTATAAAAAAAGCTCTGATAGCTCATTGTCCGGCTGCTCGCTATTAATTCAATATAGTCGACTAACCCGACTTCGATTCCCGGAGCCGATGAAATTGTAGATTTTAAGTTTTGATTTATCATGTGTTCAATGCTCAAGAAAAACAACGTGAGGAAACTTGTATATTTTCATAACAAAAAAATAAATAAATAATTCGAAGGTATGTGATGTCCGCCAATCCGCAGTGGGATCTTGTCGTAAACTATGCTCTTATACTGTCTATACAGAGTTCAGTAACTTGTCCTGATATGGTCACTTAGGTACTTCCTTCTAGTTTTAATAAGGAACAAATACGAAGAAAGAATTACGAATTACTAGCCGCTGCTCGGCGTGCTGTAGTTTCAAATTTCTTACCAATCCAGGAATTTTCTTGGGCGTTTGGATAAAAACTCTGAAAAGTTCTTCTAAAAGGACTATACTGTGGTACGGCGCAGCAGTCTTCGCTGTTGCATGAATAGGGAAGTACAGTAAAAATATTTGTAATCTTTATTTAGTTTCTTTACAGCAGGTACGCATACACATATGCATATTTTTCTTTCTATACAAAACTAATTATGCAAGTATTTCAGTCCAAGTTGTATTGTAATACTTTCGTTTTGTTTAATAATTATATCATATTCACAGAGGCGTAACTATCGTAGGTGCAGGTGGTGCAGTGCACCGGGGCCTCGAAGCTCAGAGGGCCCTCTTTGAAAAGAAAGGAACAGCCAGCTCCCGAATCGAGCACACCTCGAGCATGCTCGAAAGGATTTGTTTAATGATGTTTATTGAACATTAACAATAACAGAACTTCTAATTTAATACTTTCAATGTATGTGCCAAGGCGTCTTTGATAGGCATTTGTGTGATTTTACGTTTGTTGCAAATTGATCAGCGATAAGCTCACGTGCTGACGGTCGTGAGATCAATTACACGCATCAACTTTTTAGTTAAGTTTTCATTTGCCTTTACCTTTCATATGATGTCATCTATGTATGATGTCTCTTTAGGACGGACTATAATAGTTAACGCAAGGCGTATACATTGAAATAACACATAGGCTCCAATGTATATTTTGTAATTTGGCCACTGTATTACAATAAGTAAGCAAGAAAGTCGAAAAAATTCCTGTCCTCACTGAGCTATGTAGGAGTGCGCTGCCTAAGTCGCTCGAAGTTACACGAAAATAATATACCGTGGAATTGTTTGTTCTAAATAGTTCTAGATAAAAGTTAGCGACATGTTATATCCTTATATGTGAAGCCAATAAATATAGTGTTGTACTCTGTACTTAAAATGAAACATTAAAATTAACCAGACGCAGCGGCAAGAAACTTTCGTGCTTTTTTAATAATAAACATTTTATATAGTCATGTGCATGGTTGCCTGCTGTTTCTCTATGCACCTGGGCTCTTGTCCACCTAGCTACGCTACTGCATATTCATTCGTTTTAATTACCAATGTTAATTACTTATATAATGTACATATAAAAAGCAATACCTCAGATTAAATGATTTTGTTATTATATACAAAAAAAAAACCACAGATGGTGGGAAGCAGTCTATTGCAATTATTTAAAATCTCTACACGTTTTATATTTTTTATAGAAGGGAGGGAAAATAAATTTTTTATTTCATTCATTCAAGTATAATATTTACGCAAATGTATATACTTCATTAATCTGAAGTAAGAGACCACATAGCAAGTTTTATTTGTAATGTTATTGTCATTTATAATGGTAATTGCAAATTTTTCAGTTTTATCATGGATAAAGGTGTAAAATGTTGTCAACACTAAATAAAGGGTTGTCACGTATGTTGTAAACCGGCTTGAAAGCAGCGCATATCGTAATAGAAGTAGTATAGTTTCAAACCCTCATTAAGAGTACCGGCGCGCAACAGACACCGATACGGCGAATAGGAGGGATCTCGCTCTTCTTTATACCGTATGTATATTACATTTAGCTTTTCTGGGCAGTGTCGTTGCGGCGTTGGTACTATAGTCTTCGCGCTTAAGCATGCCAACTGCAATCATTGACTTCTGTCTACCACTGTACGCTCGTCATCGGGTCAGCGTACTTACGTACTTACGTACGAAATTACAGCCCCTTGGCGTATCGGGAAGCGATAATTATCATTTATTAAGAATTGGACTTCACAGTATCAGTCGGATCTGGAATACTTTAGTGGAATTTAGCCCGCTACACGTGTTCTGGTTTATTTAGTACGATATTTGCTTAGCAGCTAAACGTGTACAGGTAAGCAGTGTCGAGTATCGGCGTCGCGTTGTGTGCTTTTAGTTCTTCCGGTTGCGGTTGCGGCGCATGTTGGTCTGGCACTGGGGGCAGTACCACTTGCCCTTGGGCGGCGCCGTGATGCCGACGCACGGGTAGTGGAACCACTCGTACGGGCACTGCAATCAAAACAACCGTGTATTCAGATCCCACAACTCCAGGCATATGGCTGTGCGTCTAATGCGGTTATTTAACTGAAAAAGTGTTCATAACAAACCTTTCCGTACCATTATCCATAAAGACGGCAAAAATAACCATGGCCATTGCATGGGAGCCCTACTTTAAAAAAAAAATTGTTCTTTTCGTATTTTTTGTTATAGCGGCAATAGAAATACATCATCTGTAAAAAATTCTACCGTCTAACTATCACAGTTCATGAGATATAGCATGGTGACGGACAGACGAACGGACGGACAGATAGACAGGCAAACAGACAGCAGTCTTAGTGATAGGATTCCGTTTTACCATTTGGGCATTAGAACCGTAAAAATGCAAAAATTAAGGGTCCAATAAATTATCAGAATGAATAATGTAGCATAAGACAAAGACCTAGAGTGAAGTATGTCCAAGGAAATTATTAGAGTACGAATGAGTTTTTACGATTTGTACGAATGAATTTCGCGACCACTAAACTCACGTCTTGGTTATCGCAGGCGACCATGTCTCCGTATGAGACTTGGTTGCAGATGCAGTAGCGCGGCTCGTTGGGGTCGTACGTCCACTCCTCTTCCATTGGCTCCTCAATTGTCACGTTGTTCACCACGTTGCTGATGCCCCTGCAATGGGCAAGTACCTTACATGAAACATAAGAAGCAGACTCCTGCCTTTATCTATCTACCTAGGCACGTGTAAATTAAGTTGACTCCGAGGCGCAATTGCCAGGGTATTAGCAACTGCGCCTGGCAATTGGGTTCGATTCCCACACGAGACAACTGTTCCCACGAACAATTTTTTTGGATCTGGGTGTTTGTTCACGTAAAGTATATAAAGCGTTCTTACAAAAATAGGATAATGTTATCCTACAGTAATATCAGATCCGCAAGAATTATGTCCTTATGGAATGTTTATTTCATCTTCCATGTACTGGCCACTCTTTTACTTCCTATCGGTGAAAAATGATTAGAACTTGACGTTTTTTTAACCCAATGTTAAAACTACTTCTCCAATCTTCCTCTGATATCTTGTTTTAATACATTTCAATTATATTTGATTTTATATTTTTACATTTCCATTGTAATGTCGTTACTCACACGACGGTGGGCGATGAGGAGCGGCTTGCCGCCGCCGAAACGGCCTGCTGTGTATGCGCCGATACGGCCGAAGCGCCCCCGTACGAGCTCTTCCTGCGGTCAATCGATGGTAAGGCGTGACGAAGAAGTACACAAAATGAATTGGCTAAAGTTATGAAATATATCGATATTAATCAATCACTATGAAACGTAAGATAGAAGATGAAAGACACAACAAACGAGTCGTGTAAAAATTTTATTTGCAAACGGGTGTAAGTAAGTTTCAACCTTTCTCTTATTTTCTTCTTAGCAATTGATGTTAAACTGGCAGTTGTTAATATGGGCAGGCTAATTCGGGGAAGTAGCACGGTCGGTCGCGCCGATGACCGACGGTAGACAGTACAGGGATGTAACAACGTTTTAAAGAGAGGCGGTGCCCTCTCGCTTACTTGTAACCCCACGGACGTTGTCGATCCGGTAATCTCCTTTTTTGTTAATATGTGGGGTCAGTATCCTGTAGTTCATACCCCTGGAGGTTTGGAGGGGTTTCATTCTGTTGCCCGTACCGGGTTCAGTGAAATGGAATATCTGGCCCCCCCTTTGATCGCCCGTGTACCCAGTAGGGGACACTGTTAAGTCGCCTTTTATGACAGAGAATACCTTAGGCCTATTCTATGAACACGTTTGCCGAATTCTCTCAGAAATAAATTAATTAACAGCAATGGAAAATAAAATTTTGCCTGACTAATAGATAAATCGAAGAAAAATTGAAAAAGTTGGAATCCTGGCAGCGCCGCAAAATTTTTCGACAATTTACCTATAAAAGTTGCAGCGTATAACAATAAAAAAAACATGATAAACATACTTTTGCTTGTTGTGGCGTTTGTTAGTTGAGGCGGAGGTGGCGTGCGCGTGCGTTGAGTGGTGGACGTGCACGCTGCCGCTTTGCGCGTGGCTGGAGGGCACTCCGTGGCCTGCAACATTATTAACATTCCAAAACTGAACTTGTAACATTTTTGTATTTTTTTAGAACTTGTTAAATTGTTTCCTCCGCTAGTGGTAACTCTCTCCGTAACTTCGTGATTCCTCTGTATTTTAAAGTTTTATGTATTCGTAGTGTAGTAATCTAGCCGAGATCGCAGGGACGCGTTGGCCGCTAACGACCGGTCGAAGTGGAAGTCAATGGAGAACCTATGTTCAGTAGCGGACGTCCTACGGCTGATATGATGATGATGATGATGATGTATTCGTAGCGATAAACATTCCAAGTAGTAAGTAACTAGTAAAGGGAATTTTCAAGATTCTTGTGAATCATTATGAAATATCTCATACAAATATAAAATAAATGTAATATTGTACAAACATGAACTTATATTAGTCTATGTTTACTTAGATTATATTTAAATAACAAATGGCGTAGTACCATGATCATGGTGGGTATGGTGTGTTTGGTGCAGAGTCTGGTGGACGAGGTCCCCACCAGTCACCACTTCGTAAGAGGCCTTTAGGGAGGCTGTACGACGGCCGTGATGAGTCTGAAATTGAATAAAATTGTACACATAAATAAATTAAGACAACACTTTCTACTTTTTTTTCCGTTCTTCAGCAATCATTTAATTTAAGTCATTAAATATAGTCCTAATAATACACTGTAAATATACAACTTTACTTTTTACTTTTAAATATACAACTAAAAGACACCAGAGTTATACATATAAAAATAGGTAGAAAATACAGAAAAGAAATCCTAATAATACCGAATACCTGCAAATGTTTCTCGTCATTCACCAACTCTGATGCCTGGGGTTTGTTATATTTTAAATTAAGGTAATATTTTGTGATGGAGGTACCTGTTGTGTAGCAGCAATCGCTTGGCTGGCAGCAGTAGCGATGGTGCTTCCGGCATGCACCAGCGGATACGAATCTCGGCCTAGAACGGCCTGCAACAAATGCAACTTCAAGAAACCTTTTGTTATTAACTCACTGTTATTCACACACAAACAGGGCATGGCAAAAGAAAGCAATTGGAGAACACTACTGCCATTTACAGATGTTGTTACCTTCAATCTACTTAAACCACTAATAAATTGTCTGTTTTTTCACATACAATTCAGTATTTTGAATAAACTCAACTTAAAAGTACTAAATAAAAGAGAAAGAGATAGAACTAATTAACCATGAAGATTTCATTAAAATTGATATTAAAACAATTCAGCAAACAAACAATTTCAATTTCATTGATCACTATTAGCTATATAATGCTATGGTGTTTGAGAAATTATAATATAAAGCAAAATATGGTAGAGCCTCGCAGCAGCCTCGGCTGTTGCACGAATGGGCAGGCTCGTCCGGGTAAGTACCACGACCTCACAGAAGATCGGCGTAAAGTGGAAGTATGACAAATACTTTCGCGTTTCGTCTGGTGAGTGAGGTAGCCGGAGCCCAATTTCCAAAAAGGTGTCAACGCATTTGCAAATGTTCGCAGATATACTTAACATCAGGTGAATACACATAAAATAGGTATATGAAATATTTGTCTGAAATCGTGTAGAATATGTTGCTATATAGAGGTATTTCTTTACATCACCTGAATGGCAGAATCTGTTCTGGATAGATTTCCATTACTAGCATGTGCCCTTGAATCTCTCGTACCCCAACTGTCGCGACGTTTCTCAGCCCGAATACGATATCTAAAACATATAAACAACAACAATATCAAAATGTTACAGAGATGTCAACTGTCATTTGACAATAAAACAAATGAACACAATTATAGATTTTAGCAAATAACTGTGATCAAACTCATTCACAAAAAATCGGCCAAGTGCGAGTCGGACACGCGCGTTCCGTACCATACGTATCTATAAAAGCGGCTAAAAGAATCATGTCTGTTGTATGAGAGCCTGTTGTATAGCGGCAACAGAAATACATCATCTGTGAAAATTTCAACTGTCTAACTATCAAGGTTCAAGAGATACAGCCTGGTGACAGACAGACAGAGGAGTGTTCAGGTAAGGAACCCTAAAAACCAAAAGTACTGGTTACTTAAACTTTATTTGAAAATATAAAAAAAACTTTAGTATTAACATGAATTGTAACACCCTATCACATTTATCATAATAGTCACTTTTATCCCGCAGGATGTGATTATTCAGAAAATTCTTTTTTATTTCTTTATCATATAGGTTAACACATACATACCTGTTTTCCTTATAATGATTATTACTAGAAGTGCTTGAATGATTTGTGTTAGTGTCAAGGTCCAGAGACCGTTTCTCCAATAACTCAGTTATTCCTTTATTATCTGCTTCCAATTCACATTTAAACTTATGCAATTCTGTGTCTGCAATTAGATGTAAATTTATATTAAAGTAACTTATAGGATAGGTTTAACCTTTATAAATATGATCTTATTCACATGCTTATTTTCTTGTTTTAAACAATGTTTTAAGAATATTTAAAAGTTAAGTGATAAATTCAATTCTTACCTAATCTTCGTAGGTATCGATCAACAAGGTCATACATCTGGTTAGCCAGGGTCACTTTCTCATCAGCTTCTTCAAGAGTTTTATTATAACCTCTTTTTATGTCAGCAAATTCAGTGTTTGCCTGATCAGTGTTTATCTCACCTCTACGACATCCACCAAATAATGTTCTTACCCGTTTTTCTAAGGTATCCATGTTATCTATAGGATATATAATAACATATTAATAGTAATTCAATTGCTTAAAACAAATAACAGGCATTTCATTGAAAGTAACTTTAAATGAAATACATCTTGATTTTTCTTAAACGAATAAAATTTTTGTTTGGTCGAAAACTTATGGAAATTTTTACCAAATATTCTAAAAGTAAATAACAACACTCAATCCTTAGTGTTTGATAGTTTTTCTTTAGTGTTTAAAATAGAGAATTCATAGCATAAAGATATTATTAGAGTAGAAAACTTATACCAGTTATAAACTACACCTTTTGAATGATAAATATAATTCATGATAAAACCTATTTGTAACATATACCAACTTTGCACTGATAAATCCATTTCTCGCATTTCAGTAAATCTGTCTCTTAGTTCTTGAGGTAGATGTTCGATCACTGTAACAAATCGCCACATTAAATATCATTATTTATTATGTTAGATACATTTATTATGTTGTCCAAAGAATTCAAAAATCGCGCTAAAACAAAACTTTAACCCAATGGTGCCAACCATAGTAATTCATGGCGTCATTTTGAAGAGAACAAAGAAAGACTCACTTTCAAGATAATCTTCGAGGTAAAGCATTTTGGTGAGTGTAAAAACAATATTATTGTAGTTAAACCACTAAATTTGATCAATTCCTTGAAAGTGTGCTTGAAATACACGAAAACTACACAATATGCTGAACTCGTGGACGTGTTCTTTTGCGTAACGTCAGCCGTTATAAGCAATTGCCAGTGTTGGAAACATCATTTACGTTAATCGTTTCTTTTGTCGATAATATCTCCTTTCTAAAATAGGCAGCATTATTTGTCCTTTATAACTTTAGTTTAGACTGGTTTAAGTTCTTAAGTGTTAAATCCTCTTGTAGAAATTGTTTTTAATTTATAATTATTTCTTGAATTCTCAAAGATATTAAGTGGTTACGAAACGGCGATTAGTATTTTACCTCATTTAATTTGTTTTTTTAATTTCTGTCATTGTGAGTACATCGGATATTCACGGGTATCGGTACACTAATATACGGCCCATCCCGTAAAATTCATGTTTATTTAATGTGTTCTATTTTATACTTCTACTTCCTCCTTAACACGAATGACAAATATAAATCAAAGAGATTTAAAACTTAAATCGTTTCAATGAAGAGTGTTCATGTTTCCTTTCGTTTAATATTATCAACTTCCGGTATTCTATTGATATATTTTTTTTAAAGCATAAGAATGTAGTTATAATATTTTACAATTATATAATTTTAAAAGCAATAAAATAGATATATTCAAGCGTATATGTGAATAAATCTTATACATTTATAATTAGTACTAAATAGAATTCAAATTAAGTCATATATTCGATACCAGCAAAGACATCCCTAATAGTTTCAATTGTACCAACCTTGTAAACCTGTGCTAGCATTTTTATTGATCGAGCTTTATGAATGCGTTCAAAATTAATATTTTATAATTTAATTTTAGGTATAATAATGATTCGAAGACCTTTAACAGAAGTTACTTTGAAACTGGATGATTTGCAAGAGTATGAAGCTTTTCGGAAAGATCAAGCCAATAACTCTACTTTATCGAATGAAATGCAAGAGGATACACCTAAGCCTGCTGGAGGCCCGAAAGCAATTGAAGAAATTCATAAGAGAATTGGCTACGCTCCAAAAAAGAAACAAAGTGGTCCAAGTACCGTGTAATAATTGTATACTTGTTTAATTTAGGTATGCTTAAAACAATTTTTTGAAATATGTCTGCTAATCTATAGGATAAAGTGTTATGCAATGTAGAACAAGATAAAAGTACATCAAATTAATTGGATATAGTTATTTGTTGCATTTATACAATTGCATACATGTACTTTTTATATCTTTTATATGTTTATCATATAGTTTTTGTTGATGTTTTCAATTGAAGTGTTACTTATTTAGCATTTTTAAATATTATTCCGTAAAAACACTTATCCATAGACAGGGCCAAAATTATAGATTTTTATGATGATTTCTGTGTTTAAGTAAACATTATACGTTATTAAATATTTATTTGGACGGATATTATCGCATTTAATTAAAATTTCGAATACTTTGCAGCAATCACTGATAAATTTTTCTTTCTGTCTGTCTGTTCGCTTATAACTTCAAAATTACTTATCGAATTTTGATGCAATTTCCACTGGTTACTTAAGCTTAGCTTGAAGCAACAAATAGGCTTTGTTTCATCACAATCGGTTAACTCAGACAGAAGATATACGAGTACTAAGTTTCAAGCAGTGCAGCCGTAACGGTGTTATCACAGTTAGCCGACTACTAGTGTGTTTTTGAAAGTATATGAAGATTTCTTCTGTGCTGTGCTTCAAGCTTTGTTTAATTGTTATCGGTTCACTCAAACAGAAGATATGCGAGCACCACAAACCACGGGATTGATTTGTACGGTGTGTTTGTCAGCGTTATAATAATTCTATAAAGGTAATATTTCGTCGTAAAAATTACAATGCTACTCTCATATCGTCTTTATTCAAAGTTAAGTCAACTACAGAAGTATCCGTTATGAGAAATGGATAACGAAACCATTCAAATTTCTTTATCCTTATTTTTGGTAAATAATAAAAAATACTCTCTTCTAATGTTGTCAAATAGTCAATAACAATTATTCTAAGTTTTATAACAGTACTTCTTATTATAGGGACTGACTCAATTTTTCCTAAATTGTCTTTCTGAGCTTTATTCTTCCATAAAATTTATTTTTTGGAATCCCAGAAGCTTATTGGTTGAGTTTAAGATATTTTCATTAGACCCTTGTAAACTTGAATTTATGTCATTAAAAATAATAAAAAATTCTAATAAGTAAGCCTGATAATTATACCATATTTTATATTCCAACAAGTGAACAAATTCGTGATTTTTATCTTGTTCCATAAACATTTTTATTTCGTCTTTTAATTCCAGCACACGAGATAATTTTTTTCCTTTGGACAACCACCTTACTTACGTATGTAGTAACAATTAGTAGTACTTGGCTTCCATAGCTTGGCATAATTTACTAAATAAGCGACCTTTTTAATGGTCTTGATTTTGTATAATTAACCAATTCAATTAGATTCTGACGGCAAATATTTTGTAGCAATGGGTAAGTAATATATACCCATTCAGTCAGTTCTTTAACATGCGCTACAAATCCTTTTAAATGTCCAATCATAGCTGGAGCACCATCTGTACAAATGCCAATACACAACTTCCAAGAAACTTTAATTTAACATTATCATATAACAATTTATTGTATTTACGTGATATCGATATCGAGGCGTATCCGTAAACATATCTATATCTAGAATTTCGTGGCACACAAAAGTCCCGCGGTACAGTGGTTGGGAATCAATGGCTTTTATAATAGGTTCCATTTTACATAATATTATTGATTTTATTTTGCGATTTGGAATTTAGGTATAAAAAAACTTGATTTAGATAGGCAAGGATATTCGGATATATTATACTGATTTGCTTTGTGGTTTGGTAATTTCACATATTGTATCCAAGTTTTTGTAGTGAGTCAGGAGCTACTTTTTTAGTATTTCCTTAACCATTGAGTTTTCGAAATAAATATTAGGAAAAAATTCCTCAAAAAAATTCGAGTCTGTCGCAATACACCAGAGCAGCAAAAATAAAAGAAAGAAACTTTTTAAAAACTGTTTAATTACAAATGCTTATTTATAGTTTAAATAGGTACCTATATCAAATATAAAAAATGACTAAACATTTGACAAGACAATGTGATTAAAGTTATAAAAGTGAATATGTAAAATTAATTCAATACTTGAAGAGTTTACTTTATTCATTAACAATATACAAATTAATGTTTAAATTTACTAGGCTTTGGACTGGAAAATTGATCAGGATAATTATCTTGTATTTTCTTCGAGTTTCGCTTGCGCCATAGTATGCAAACAATCCTGGAATGTTTATTAGATAATGTTTTAAAAAATATCATAATTACGTATCGTATTTTATAAAAAGTAGCGCTTTATTCTTTTACCTCAAAGTGAGAAAGTAAATAATCTCAGCGACACTGAGTATCGAGAAACCCATAAACAATCCCAAAAGACCGCCGCAATTTGCAAGAAAATCAGTCTGACCATACAGTTCCGATCGCCTAGAAGTGATGAATTGTGCTTCTTTGAAGAAAATCATAACACGCGAATACTTTTTACTGAAATAAATTGACACATTTAAAAAAAATATGATAAGCTTACTACCATACATCGAGCACAAACTGTAAGACAGCGATTTTTGCTCGTGAATTATGCAATATACCATACATATACACACGGAATACAGTGATCATACACTGTGGTAGGGCCAAGCAACAGCTTCGGCTGTTGCGCACATCGTAAAGTCGGTTCGTCCGGGTAAGTACCACGTCCTCACAGCAGACCGGCGCGAAGTGGTAAGTTTTATATTTCTGCGTTTCAACTGGTGAATGAGGCAGCCGGGGCCCACTATATTAAAAGGTGGAAACGCATCAGCAATCCTGCGGGTGTTGCAAATAACAATGGGGGGCGGTTGTCACTTAACGTCAGATGAACCGCCAGCTCGTTTCCACATTCTCACATGAAAAACAATTCACGGAACAGCTTAAAATTTTACGTTATATTATCTGTTATGTAAATTTTAGCTTCTGTTATAAAATTTGTATATATCCGAACTGCAATCAGTACTGAATGAATGAATATTCTTTATTGCACACACCATGGTAAAAGAATACATTAAAAATAACAAATATGTAAGGGTTGTACAATGGGCGGCCTTATTACTTAAAGCAATTTCTTCCAAGCAACCTTTGGATGGACATAATATGAAAAGAATATTTTAGGGGTGTGGGTTAATATCTATAAATTTTATAAGATAAATACATTCTTTGTTATAAAAAATAAATAAATAAATAGATAAATATTAATAATACATTCTGTATCTAAACCAGATTTAACGTGACAAATAGTGACTCTTGACAAGGTTTTTAAAAGTGGAAAGTGACTGAGCACGTCTCACCTCCAGAGGTAGTAAAGTAAAGAGTAAAGCCATATGTAGGCCATTTCATAATTTCGCACCTTGAACCATAAAGGACTTAGCCATAATTTTTAATTTCAAATTCTCTGATGATCTCAGAAGATGTGTGTGGGATTCGTGTAAAAACTCGAAACGTTTCTTTAATAATAATAATAATAATAAAATATCTTTATTCACATAGACGCTTGCGCGTTCTTATGAAACGTCAAAATTTTACAAGAAATTAACACGTTCGTAAGTTACCACCGGTTCGGAAAACAGTTTCTGTTGAGAAGAAACCGGCAAGAAACTCAACAGTTGCTCTTTTTTAAAAAATCAGTTTACAATATAATAGTACAGGTACAATAGTCTTGTTTTAGCCTACGTGAATATCAACAGTATTAACCCCACACATTGGCGTCGTCAAGATATTCGGCAATAGTATAATAGGCTTTAGCCATAAGTGTACTTCTAATTTTTCGTTTAAATTCATCAAGTGGCAGACTTAACATCGACTGTGGGATTTTATTATACATGCGCACACTTTGCCCCATGAACGATCTGTTTACTTTTTGTAGGCGAAATAAGTTTGTTTGGCGTAGTTAGTTTGTCCTTATTTCTAGTATTTAGTTTATGTCTGTCACTATTCTTTTGATAATTATTAATTTTGATTACAATAAATATATTGAGACGCAACAGTGAGTACATTAATTCTTTAAAAAGATGTTTAACAGCTCTTTTTTGAATAATAAATATATTTATACAGATGCATAAATGCCGTACGACAAGATACTTAGTAAACAAGTCTGGCAGTGTCGATGTCTGATAGCTGTGCAAGATATGATTAATGGGGTTAGCTTTGAATCTACTGTATTACAGCGGACTCAGGATTTTAAGGTTAAGCTATTCAATTTTAAGCTAAAACTTTGCCTTCTTACGTTGGGAAGGGCAAAAAGAAGGCATTTAGTTTTTTTAGCATTTAACACCATATTATTAATGGTAAACCAGTGGAGAAATAAAAGGGATATGAAGGATTAAACAGAACGTTGTAAAGAAGGGGGAGTATATGAGCATTCCGGCGAAGTCGAATGGGTAAACACTTGAGCTTAGAACGAAAATGTGAGACATGATCATATTTACGTAAGCCAAATATGAATCTTACACAGAAATTTTGGATACGTTCAAGCTTATCAAGTTGCTCCTCGGTTAAATCCAGATAACTGACGTCGGCATGTCCGAGAATGGGGAGAAGTAGACTTTGAGCAAGAGCAACTTTGGTGGCTGTTGGTAAGAAATTACGTAATCTCCTCAAGGATACTGCAGAGGCAAATACTTTGCGGCTAACCTCTTGCAGCTGGGGTCCCCAGGATAAGTTTTTATCACTGGATTCCCAGGTTCTTAACAGTTTTACTAATAGGGATAAAATTTCCGTCAAAGTTAACTTTTGGAATTAGTTGCAAATTCGTCTTACTCAGCATTCTAGACGAACCAATGACTGTAAATTTTGTCTTCAGCGGATTCAACTTAAGACCATGTGCATTGCTCCATGCGGAACTTTTTAACAGGTCGTCATTTATAGATTTTATAGCCACATGTAAGTCTTCAGTGCAAGCTTGAGTGTAGATTTGAAGGTCATCTGCGTAAAGGTGGTAGGATGAAGTAAGATTATTTGATATCGAGTTTATAAAAACTGAGAAAAGTAAAGGAGATAGAACGCCACCCTGCGGAACACCAGCAGTGGTATTGCACCACGAAGAAGAGGTATCTTCAATGCATATACGCTGCCGACGTCCATACAGGTAACTACGAAACCAATCAATTGCTGTTGGAGATATGTTAAGGCACCTGAGTATTCCATCCAAAACCTCAAAGTCAACCGTATTAAAGGCGTTACTAAAATCGAGCAAGGCAAGGACCGTTAACTTGCCGTTTTCCATTCCTGTTCTTATATCCTCTGTGATGTTGACCAAGGCTGTTACCGTACTGTGGCCAGGTCGAAACCCAGATTGTAAAGGGTTTAAAATGGAGTTACTGTTAAGGAAAGTGCTGAGCTGACTATGTACGAGGCGTTCAAGGACTTTGGATAGGAATGGTAATATGGATATTGGACGAAAATCGGAAAAGGACGAAGGGTTGTGTTTTTTAGGTAAAGGAATTATTTTTGCATCTTTCCAGGAACATGGGAATATGCCCATGGTGATCGAGGAATTTAAAATATGACATATAGTAGGAAGAAGGAAATCAAGGATAGGAAGGATCATTTTACGGGAAAGACAGTCATTGCCGATTACATTTGAAGTTATAGATAAAATATTCTTCTTAACATCACAAGCAGAGAATTGATTCAGAAAAAGGGGCGGATAGTCGGGGGAAGGAATTGATGAAAAAGCATTTAATGTGTTATTTTTCATAGTACCATCAAAATTGGTCGAAGATATATATTGATTGATAATTATGTAGATTGATAATAGATTGAAGGCTAGAAGAACGAGAGTCAAGTATTAAAATCTCCCATTACTATAGTATGAGAGTAGGAAGGCGTTAGATTTTCCAGGATATTTTCAAATGAATTAAAGAAATCAATACGTAAGGAGGGGCTGTAGTACACGCCTAGTACGACCTTAGTATGACTATGCTCCACCTCAATGAAAAGATGCTCGCCGGCATTAGATGGGGGTGATTGTGTTGATGTATCAATTATTGTAAAAGGGATAGAGTTTCTCAGGTATATAGCCACACCACCACCACCGCACCAAGTACGATCATTTCGAATGAGTTGGAAACCAGGTAGAGAGTATTAAGAAGAAGGAAGACATGGTTTACGCCAAGACTCGGAAACAAGGATAGCATGAATGTTATTACAATGAAAAGTTGCCAGCATATCTGTAAAGTGAGCCGGAATACTTTGGGCATTTATGTGAACTACATTAAAATTTCTGGGAACATCAGAAAATTTGGCTGTAAGAGTGTTGATAAGTGGCTCAACAGAAAAGCTATCATCGTCAACACTCTCTGCTGAGTAATAGTTATCAGAATCACTGTTTTCATCACTAATAGACATGACAATGTGAAAAATAAAATTTAGTATAAAATATAAATATATTTATATAAAAAATATATTAATAATACTTATAATAATAATTTTTCTTACTCGACGATATCTTCTCCAATTGTTATGTTGTAGGCGGTATACAGTGCTTTCCAGTCGAAGTCTGCCTGAGATGTTTCCGCTTCGTATTCGATCGAAGTGCAAGCGGGCAGACACTTGCATTGAGACGCGACGGCACGCGACTCTCCCAAAGTGTCGTTTTGATCTAGCTCCTTGTCTAACCGCGATTGTATGTCCACCGTCACCAGTTCCACTGGAAATTCAAACGTGCAAATACTATACCATGTATACAGGGTGGCTTCTCTAAAGGTTCTCAAATTCACTCGGTAGTATAATCGTTTATTGAAATAAAAACACACTTTTTTTAATTTGTCAATCCATTCCCTAAAAAACAGATCTTGTTGACAATGAGTTTCCCATAAATCACATAATAAATCCCATAAAACTCATATAACATTATTTATATCTAGAATTCAATAAAAAAATGGTTACACTTAGAAAAGCCTCCCTGTATATATTGGATATATATAAAAAAGCATGTGTGTACTTATGTACGCATGTAGTGTTATACTTCTTTAGCGTAACAAAAGAAAAATAACTAAAAATGTTATCCCCTTTTTCACGTACGAATAGTATTTGACTATTCGTACGTGAAAAAGACATTAAATGCAATTGATAATGTTTTGATTAAATAACTTGAAATTATAGGTAAATGTCAGAGTTGTTTTTGGTTGCCATGGTCGATGATGGTAGCTTTACACACAACTTCATCATATCGGTGTGAGCGCGTATCGTAAAAATTTTATTCTCATATTTTTTCCAAACGCGCCAAAAGAAGGATAACTTTAAAAATGTAACCTAGAATACAGACCAAGTGAAAAATATTAGAATATGCTCATAGACTAAACGCTTAATAAATAAAACTTTCTTATATCCATGTTTTGTTAATCGACTTATCATTTACGAACAACATAACTGTAACGTTTCGTAAGTTTTTTAACGTATTTACATAAATTATAAAAGTTAAAAACAAGTAAAATAAACCATATGACGGAATGGGTCCTCGGTAAAAAACGGGAGAGGTGTTGATGTTAGAAACCGAGTTAATTTTTTTCTTTGGCTAATGCCAGATCCATGTATTAGAGGATATTATGGCATTACGCGTTGTTACTCATTGTATTATTACCAAATTGTATTCTTAGGCAGTAAACACAATATAATCTACAAGCTTCATTCGAGAACATTCACTCACTTTGAGCTTTCTTTATGCAAGCGACGCTACCCGCATTGCAGATTTTCATATCGGGCCCGTCTAAAACAAAAAAAAAATGGGTTAAGTCGTAGTAATAGTTGCACAATGTCTAACATTCAAAATTCTACTCACGCGGCATGCCGAAATGTACGCAACCACATCGCACGTATGTAAAATTCGTCAAGCATTCTATTTCACAATTGGCCTGAGTGTAAACTTTATAATATCGGAGGTAACGTTCACTTGGGAAGTAACATTGACGCCTGGGAATCAATAGAGCATTGATTTAAGCTTATCAATAGATATATTTATTTAGTCGATTATTATTATTGTACATTGAATTAAATCGAGTAACACATGTCCCTATACTTTTAATTATGCTAGCTGCGTTATATTTACTAGCATTTAATAAAACAACATGTATAAAGTTTTTAAATATGTAGTCTGTAAAGTATTCCAACTGGCGTAACTCTTTTAACTTGGGTCGAATATCATTCTCGTAGTTTGGTATTATTATTTGACTGACTTTAAGCCCTTTTAAGAGACCTTTTAGCTGAGAAGCGGTAAGGTATCCTCAATTTATTTGCCGTTATATTATCACAAAAGGAAATTTCGAAATTCTTTTATTAAATCATCTGCCTTCAGGAAGGTAATATAAATTATGAGTCTATTTGATTTTCGTGATATTCGTCTAATGTTATCATAATTTTAATAATAAAAACAAGCCTATTTCACTTTCTAGACTCCAAGTTGATCAACTAAAAAATTCTAAAATACTTGCACTAAAGGGTGATAAGGCTTCAATCCATCAGATGTGGTCATCATCTTCGGTCTGACAGCCACAACAACTTCTTGGGATAAAGGTGACCTGAAGTACTGTTGCGACAATCGTGGTAGCTCGGCAGGATTATGCAACAATATCTTAAAAAAATACCAAGTGTTAATAAGTTTCAATTTACTTTAAACCAAATTCAAATTCAATTACAACCTTAAATCCTTGCACAGGCCCTCTGCAAAGGTAGTCTAAATCAATCTCGTTAGTTTGAAGTAAGAATGTTAAACCGGCTTTGGCACCATAACCCTGAAAACCGTACAAAGTTAGTTGAAAGAATAGTTTGGATACAGCATTGCACGGTTAATCATTGTAATGGAAATAGATTATTGAAACGCTTAGAAAAATATGAAGTCAAAACTATGAAATATATTGCATCATTTTAAATTACTATCTGTTCGCTATCCGTATATCTAATGCACGTTTACCTCTTACATTTTTATTCTTTAAGAATTTTTATGGCGTATTCAAACGGTAGAGACCGTTTGTATACGCCAATTTTTGGCTTCTTATGCCTTTTCTTCATTTTTCTTTCTCTTTCGTCAATAGTGGCAAACATACGCGTTAAATTGGTGTTTGAATTATTCAATTGGATGATGAATAATGGCGTTCCGACAAAAAACCTTTTGATAAATAATATCATAAATATGATATAAACACGCAGACACTTGAAAAACACTTTGTCCATTACACAATATGTTACCAGTAGACAGGGTACAACTCCACTAAGTCAATAAATTCGTCAATTTTATAGTTCTCAGATAAACATATGTTTTCAACGTAGAGGAAGTGGTTAGGAAGCACTAAAACTGGCATTACCTAACAATTTACTTTTTCATTGCTTTCGGACATGGACGGACTTTACCCCGTTACAATAAATTAAAATTGTCTAGACGTTGGTCTACCGAAATGTAATTACTTGAAATAGTGTTGAACAAGACATATCCGATTCTGCGTAATGAACAGTGTCCGTGTATTTGTGTACGTTATGATTTTCTTACATTTCGAATTATGAATGAATACAAACATGTTCTATGCTACCAACAATGACATCGCAGCTTAAAACAGCATATTATGTCAACGCAATGGAATACACTGTGTTATGCTTCGTACGTTGCTAACATTTCGCGGTTTCAATAAAACAATAGTCTGAATCAAACGACTTGACTCAACTGACTTTGAGAATATCGATAATAATTCTCGACATTAAATTCTTCGTGATTTTAACTATTGAAATGTCAGAATAAGGTCAAACGGGTTTGTATTTGTTACAAACGTGAACGACAGAATCAAATGCATAAAGAACACTATTTTTATTTATTACAATCTGCGATAGATAAATCTCCATATAACCTTTAAATGTAAAAGTTACCAAATATTTGTGTATATTAGCTCTATTAATAATAGCTAATTTGCTATTATTGATAATTTTGTTTTATGACAGAATTAAGTCATGATAGCTCAGTGTCCGGGCGCTCGCCTTTAATTCAGTTTATTAATTCAGTTTACTCGAGCAACCTGATTTCGCAACCTGCATATTCTCCGAAGTAATAACAAAAAAAAATTGAAGATATGTGAAGTCCGCCAATCCGCAGTGGGACCGCATGGTTGACTATGCCCTCAGGTTGATGATACCCTCAGTGTACATGACAGTGACATGTTGATGATACCCTACTTTATAACAGAATTGGTGAACACAATACAATTTCTGTAACTGCAACTTCAAGCAACTGTACTTCGCCTGATGTGTATAGCTACATTACAATTTACAAAATGACAGGTACAATATGATTATTCTGAATTTATTGCATAAAAATACAATATTCAAATTGTATAGTAGGAACGGGTGTTTTTACGTATGTCATTTAATGTCAGACCACGAATGTTATCGCTTTTAACTTTTTCATAAACTGTTTGGATCATAATATAAACTGCTTGAATATTATTGATAAAAGTGTAATATCATATGGCGCAGTTACTTACTGAGCCTCTATGTGGATATGTTTCCAACGGTGTAGATGGAGGATAGCCGTCTTCTAATGACCAACTTTGAGAAGAATTGATGGTGTTTAAATATTTGTATTCTTTGTGCAAGCTTGAAAATAAGTAAATAGATTAAATTCGTAAATGGTATTTTCTTCTTAGTACGCAAAGACGATTAAAAAAAGAATTTGTAATATTCTGTTTGTCTATATTTACGATTTTCCATGCCATCGATAAAGAGGTTTAAGCTTTTATTTGAACCATATTTGAATCCAATAAATCCAATAATTAAGAAGTGAAGCTTATATTACTATTAGTAATATGGTTTCGTGTAAATCACGTTAATGTAAAAATACAACTAAGACCTAGAAAAAGTCTCACATAGTTTGGCATTCTAAATTACGCTTTTAGTTTAATTTATAGATTGTAACAAAGAGGGTTATAGTTCAAATACTTCTCCATTCTAAATAGCTCCTCGGCACCCATCGTGTTGAAGGTGTAGCAGAACCCGTCCTCCGTTAGGATAGGCGAAAACAGATCCATGCAATTGTCCTTTGGGACATCTTTCCATTTGCACCCGAAGAAAAATTCAGAGATATTCGGTGAAACCTAGGAAACATATTTTTACAAAATAATATATAGTTTCAAGAAAACCTTTTTTTAATTTTAAAATGAATGACATTTTCAGTTATTACTTAATTCAGAGAATAAAGTATAATAACGTCGGGAATTACAATTTATATAAGTTTACTGATACATCGAAGAATTTAGAATATTGAGAAATATTCATAAAATTACACGTTATCGAACAAACCTATCCAAAGCGACATGGTGCAAAGAACGCATAAATTAAATGCGATAATAAGTGTTAATTTTTTCTATTAATCAACGGGAAAGCTTTAAATGAGATATTTTTATTTTATTACCTGTCTCAAGTTTTCAACGGTTGCATTACCGTCGGAGAATTTTCGACCTTTAGCTGGGGCCAAGTGGTCGTCGCACACCAAAGTTGTGTCTTCGTACATGTTACGCCTAAAAACGGGTATTATTAACTCATACGTACATACCATAAAGCAAAGCAGTATGTCTGTGTGTCCTCTTATTGCAATACAGTCGTTAGCCCGATTTATATGATTTTGTTATATGATGTCCTAATACTGAATACAATTTGAAAATGACATTCATACCCGAAGAATTAAGGAACGGTAACATTTCCTTTATTTATTCTCATATTTTTTTTATGATTTTACATTTCCTTAATCCTTAGATACCCTGTCATCTTACATGACCGGTTTATGTGGGGTTTGTACCCACTAAAACCCCCTCGGTGGCCACCTTCTGTACATTTGGAGGGACCCCGGGATCTCTTATGGAACGCACCGGTGTCCCTCGGTACGGGGCGTGAGAACGCCTCGGAGAAGGGTAAACCTTCCCCGATTCCCTCGCCATCTTGCAGCAGCTCGAGGCCACTTCGAGCTGCTGCCAATCCGTGTCCCCTTTTACGACAGGCAGGAGATACCTTAGTCCTTCTATGAGCCCGGAACTACAGGGCTGATGTATATATAGCCTAGCACAAAAATATGTATGCGTGATAGCGTATACATTGCTTTCATACACATATCTTTCAAAAGAAAGGATTGCAAACGAGTAGTCGATTCGCCTGCTAAGTGATTGTCGTCGCTCATGGACATCAATAACACCCGTGGTATAGCAACTGCGTTGCAGACCAGTTATTAATTAGGGCGGGCTTTGGTTACATCGCTAACCAGACAAACACAAACGTATAAAATGTACGTCTAGATTCGAATCATACACCGATAAATGTGATGCAAATTGCAATAAATTTGATAATCGTGTTAAAAAATAGAAAACTCTGAAATAGTTACTCACTCCTCTTCCGTCAGCCGCATAAACGTGTCGTTGTTCATATAGAGATGATAGTATTTCGTGAAATTAAATCTCGTTTGAAGGGATTTAGTCTCAAAGCACACTGTTACCGCAGGATAAGGTATCTGCAGCATTATGTTGAAAGACGTAAAAAAAATTTGAAATATAATAATAATAACATTAACTATTTTTAGTTCTTGTATACCTGCCAGACAGGAGTTGAGTTTTCGGCAAAACTTACTATCACCGGGCTTTCATTCCATTTTATATAGACTTTTCTTATTAAGCCGGCGCACAATACAACGCAGCAAATAAACATAAAAAGCCAGAAAAATCTGCGAATATGATAAAAAATATTGTTAAAATTTAAAATATATTCAATTAAAAGTCATACATTACTAAACTGACGTTCTTGCGTAATGTTTCATTAAAGTTAGAGATTTAATAAATAATAAGCTATTAATAATTTAATGCTCTAAATATAATGAGACATTTTCGTATAAACATTGACTTTACCAGTTATACAGATTGTTTTTTAAAATCTGCTTTCAACATTAATATAATAATAAATCGTACAATGTTCTACCACCGTTTACGCAGACTGCTGATAACTAATACTTATATTAAATTTTAAGTTCACTGTTAATAAAAGTGTGGTGATATTGAAAAACCTCCAAAATGAACATGGAGTATGATCTGTGCTGGTATTAAAAACTTTTAATACATTCCAAGCATTTATGTTAAGATTTTTCATAATGTATAATTTTTTAATTATGCTATAAAACGGTTAATATATCAATAACACAGTTTAGTTTTTATCACTAGACAGTTTTATGTAACACTACGGTTATATAAAACTGTCTATATTATTATCTGTAATATATTATGGTGTGTTAGATTTTTTCCCGGCAAGGAATTTCTTACGTAGATTGTTAATATTGAATTTTAACTTAAAACATTAATTCTGTACATTATATACTTACTTTTCGACAGGACTTCGTTCTTTTTCGCCGATGTATCGAAGACCATGTAAGTTAGAATTCGCGGTATAGTCAATAAGATATTCTTTAATCGTATACCGCTTCCCTTTTTTGACATTAGTTTCGCGAACATGACTTTTTTCCAAATCGCTTTCAGGAACTCTGCCGACGCTACCAGATCTGTAATTTCGGGGATTTTAATATGTTTGTTTATTTTGAAAGTCATTTTTAATTGAGCTCGTCAGTAAAAAGGGCAACTAAAACCTTGAGTGACGCTTCATCGTGGTCAGGACGAACTGAAATAACTGGCTGCAGAATTTTGTTTGCTTTTTATTTGGGCTTGGCTTTTGAACATTGAATAATACCATTACGTATATCCCTAAGGAAATCTGCCAATTATGAAATTAAAATGGATACCAAGAATTATTAACAAAAAATACATTTTTGTAATAAGGGTTGGCAGTTGTATATCATTCAATAACAGTTAATTTTTTTATTGAAGTTGGAAATGAGTTTTCTTGGTAGGTGCCTTAAAAGTACCGTAGCGTAACCATCATTACGATTATTTTTATTTTTATTATTCATAATAAATGATATTTTATGTATGAGAATGGAGGGCATCAAATGTCGTTAAAATACATAGGTTAGGTCGAAAATTATAATTTATAGAAATTACAAATATATTTGTAGTTAACTTAAAATCATTTAAAACAATTAAAAAGTTAATTTATGTTTATATATATATTTTAATGCTAGAGCAATTATCTCAAATCCTCTATTCAACAAACGAAACGTTTTATCAATCGATAGTAATTTTTAGGGTTCCGTACCCAAATGGTATAGCGGGCCCTATTACTAAGACTCCGCAGTCTCTGTCTGTATGTCTTTCCGTCTGTCACCAAGTTGTATCTCATGAACAGTTATAGTTAGGCATAGGTTAGTTGAAATTTTCACAGATAATGTATTTCTGTTCACGCTATAACAACAAAGTACTAAAAAACAGGTACTTACCATTTAGTTCTTTTATAGATAATGGTACGGAACCTTTCGTGCGCGAGTCCGATTAGCACTTGGCTGTATTTTTTTTATCTACCACCGTTTCGTAATGAGGTTCCTCTAAGAGAGAAGAAACAGGCGAAAGGAACTCTTATTATGTTTCCTCAACATTGACATTACATTAAAGTTATTTTATAATTATATTTATTTAGAAATAGGTTGGGAGCGATCAACTCATTCCTGAGGGCCATTATCATTAATGTAACTCTGTATGTAAATTGAACAGTATGTGGTAGGCATCCCTACATTAATGGACGAACTTTTGTTGCAAACATGCAATGAAAAAAAAAGTAATTTAATAATTGAAAATAACGCACATTAGGTGTCAATTCCACATAATTTATTCGTACAATGTCGTTCATGTATAAAGCAACATTTGCTGGTATATAGTATGTGCTATATGGCTAAAAATTGTACCCTCATTTGTAAATTCCGTCTAAACAAAGCATTCTTAAAAAGCATATTTCATTATAAATTTAAATTCCTGTAAGTTATCCAAAGGAATTCAAAATGTTTGATGTGTGTACATGATGATGATTCTTCTTGCTATAATTAGGATTTGACACAAATCTTTTTCTATCAGCAGACTAATATTAATCTACCTGTTGTTAATTATCTTAATAACTTAAGTTGAGCTTCTTTCCGACAAAGTAAAAGCTAATTTTTTACCTTCTATGTACCGAGCCTTTTCGAAATCTTTTTAAGGCACTAATAATCAAAAAAATCGTTAATGTGGCTTTAAGGAATGAAAAATTTCGTATCAAGAGGCACGACCTCGCTAATCCTAGCTGACGTATTGACATAAATATATAAGACGCAGACTAAGATGGAAATCAAGGCTTTCAACTCTCACATCGCTAGTTATTTTTTTAATCTATTATTCTTATATTATATTATGGATACAAACCATGTCCTGGCTTTTTTTTAATTTAACACGCGTTTTTGCAGATTAATTTTAAAGTAATCTTCATTTTAAGTTTTATATATTTAGGCTTAAGTTTTAACGAGTTGATTTTTACAGTTCTAAATACAATTGTTTCTTATGTGGCAGTGGCTGTCACTATTTTCTAATTAATACTTTTCTATCCAAGGCGCTCCACATTTCGTAAAAGCCATCTCCATGTTACCTTAAACTTAGTCTAGGAGTGCCTTAAGTATTTTAGGGTAGCCTCCTACTTCTAACTCTCCTATTTCACATCGGTCTTCTGTGACGTCGTGGTACTTCCACGTCGTACCTGCCAATTCGTGCAACAATTCGTTGCGCGGCCCTACCACACAAAAGGATAGAGCCTTCAAAAAGAAATAAACAATAAGGTCATGCACCTTTACGGCCGGCGATTTAATTTATGAAAGACACATGCCGATAACGTTTTTATAAATAAATTCTACTGCTACATCAGGACGGAACAAAGAGTGTTAATTTATATCGCTAGCATTATTGAACAAATATATTACGTACAAAATCAATTTCACGTCTTTATTGTGTATTCTCTAAATTTACGTATATAACTTTATAAATATAAAATCGCAATAATTTATTACACAATTATAGTATAAACTCTAAATACATAATTTCATTATAGTATAAACATTAAATACATAATTTCAAAGTTGATATCCACTAACCACAAACGAACCAGAACCTGATCAATAAATTGAAATCGTGTCGGACGAAAGCGAACGCGATCTTGATTTCAAACAACCTACGCCGCCGGACTCAAGGCCGTGTTGTGGCAGCTAAGTTTACAAGTGTTTTGGTGCGGAGTTATTACCACAATGATTGCGGCAAGATTAGACAAAACGTGGAGCCGCTGGCCGTGCGCGGTGGCGTCGCCTTCCTTCCCCCGCAGCTCGATGACTCGATCGCGAGTAGGGTGACCCGCTCTATGGAACCGATTAATGTACTAATTAGGATACAATATAGGTACATCCTATTTTTTTTTAAATCAAGAAAAGGTATTTAAAGGTAACGAAATAAGACACGGTACTTCGTTTCTTTGTTATATTACTATGAAATAATTTATTTTCATATGAGAAGGTTGCAAACGACCAACTGGGGCTCAGGTTAGGTGAATACCACTTATGGTCCTTTGTGTGGTTGGAGATGCGTTGTCAACATTTGAAAGACTTCTACTTCTTCTTAGACGAAAGCTTACCTACCTCTCGGTAAGATAAATAATAAGTATAAATACTTTCAATCCACGTGGCTCTTGGTGTCTTATGGGGAGATACTACTCCAGACGAACCATTCGTACAACAGAGGCTGCTGCGTGTAACTAACAAGTTAATAATTAGTGACTGCTCAAAAGTTTAGTGCCCACGATTATACAAAACATTGCAGGACCTAGAATTTCTATGGCAAGTTTAACACTCAACGATATTTCCAATGCTAAACTTAGTAATTATGTGGGCTTTCACGTTTATAGAATTACCAGCTCTGTGATAAAACGTGCTAAACTATGTAATCATATCCCATTTATTGTGGCATCCTGGCAACCCTACAAGCGAGAGAACGCGCGTGGAGCGAGTGCGAGGCACTGACTACCGTCTGCGAACCGGCCACACAGCCAGCTAGTATCTGTAAGGTCGCAGGATAGGTAACAGCTTCGTAGCGTTCACAGCTATCACGCCCGCGGAATAAAACAGCAATCTACCTATTTTTGGCGGGTATTTTCAATCATGTCGGCCACGGAAGAACTCAGTGGTATTCTTTCTAGGCGTCAGGAGATAAACGAAAAACTTGAGGAGGGTCTTGAGGTTAAGCCGAAATATAAATTCGTGAATGTTTATACAGAGTTTCACGAATTCTCCCGGAAGGAAATTAAGCAGTACGAGGAGACCTTCAACAAGTAAGTAATTTTTATTTTTGACAATCGTAATATTACAGCAAAAACATTTTATCGTTTTGAAATCTCAAATACAGTTAATTATTGTAATTATAGATCAACAAAAGTGAGTAATAACATTTACCAATACTATTATTTCTATTTATTTTATTACATACTGCCAGGTTCGTAAGATTATAACAAGTATGTGAAAACACCTTGCATGTAATGTAGGTAACTGTTTATAGCAAGCATTAGGATAACGATATCTGATTAGCATAACCTTTAATTTTTTTGTCACCGTATTAAGTTGTGATAATGTATAGTAAATTATTTAACAAAAATATGTCTGATCAAATTATTCATGTGTGAAAAATATGTGTGGCTTAAAAATATATGATTTTGTGTATTACTACATAATATCACCTAATTGAAAATTTTTAGTTTTAGACTTGTTCAACAGCATTGCGCTGTTAGTCGTCGTGGGAGACAATAATGAATAGGAATCAAGTTATATTCACTTGAGAAGTAATTTGTCTCATCATAACTTTCATTTACCTATCTAAAGAGATTACTCAGTATTCACACGATGTGATTGTGCCCCTTTTGCACGATTGTATAATTTGCTCACTGGCAACTCTATTCGTAACTTTTGTAGGTTCTATCAAATAAAAATTTTATTCAACTTTTTAAGATATTCTAAACGCATGGGCTTATATATGCTGATAAATACCATATTAAGTTTGAGTAAATATTAAAAGTATACTATTAAAAGATTTCAATGGACATTAATTATTTCATGACGTTAACGCATAAAATAATGTAGGAAAATTATATTACATTTTCACTTTTACGAACATTTTTAAAGGTAGCTGTAATCATTTGTAAAGTACTTACAGGATTATTTCATAATAAGACCCTAATAAAAACGTAAAACTACCCGCATGATAATAAAAATATCAGCATCTTACAAAGCGTACAACAGACCATTGTCACATTCCTAAACATTTTAACAACTGTTGTATAAAAGTCTTCACAATGAAAAAATTGTTTGAACATTAGTAACTATAGCGCGAAGTATTAATACAATAAAATACGTTACAATAACAATAACAACACCTACACAATGTCAAAGTATGCGTATGCTCTATGGATTAGTAAGTGGTCATTGGTGAGAAATAATATGAATCCGTTGTTGATTTCCTTTTACATATTGAAATACTCACGCATTCTGTCTTATATTTTATAGCTTATTCATTCTTTGCAGACATATTATGCGATGTCACAATTAGAGTGAAAGGGTAACTAATCCCTTGTGAATCTAATCCCTAGTTTTATATTAATGTTTTGCTATTTTATGTACGCTTGACATCTATTTGTGGTTATTTATGTTCGGAGGGTGCTAGTCCGTAAGTTTCATGACGTCTTATTCATAACGGCGACTTAGTTTCAGGTAATGGGTAAGTCATCGGGACCCTCCGGATATCGTGTATTCTAACAAATTAACTCGTTTGCCGACTTCTTGTCCACCCTAAGGTCAAACGGTCGTGATCATATCGCTTATGTATTCGATTGATTTAATTTGATACCAACAACACCGGTGCATTCTTCGCCTTATGGGATCACAAATAAAGGGACTCTTTTCATTTCCGTATGCATTTGTGTATTTTAGTTACTTCCATAACATAATGTCATATGGTATTTTGCTATGGGGGCACGCGGCCGATATAGAAACAATTTGTATTTTGCAAAAAAGGGCCATAAGAGCTATTTATAATAACCGCTGGGAATGGGTTGATCGCTCCCAAGCTATTTCTAGAAGGAAAAAAAATCAGTTGTATATTTTAAAATTTTTTTAAGACAAAAAAAATGAATTACAAAAAAGAGGATACCTACGGAGTTTCTTTCGCCTGTTTCTTCTCCGCTGGAGGAACCTCATTACGAAACGGTGGTAGATTTAAAAAAAAAATGACTATCGATAGATGAAATGTAAGTTTCTTATGTCGATGAATAAATGATTTTGATTTTAATACAAAATCATAATCATTTATTCCATAACAAACTTCTAAAATATCTTAATAGGAAAATAGTAGACAGTTGAACCGATAAAGTTTCTCGATAATGAAAATAAAAAAAAAACAAATAAAAAGAAATTATGATAGCATAGTTCTTGTATTTTTGCGTGCTTTTGCGAAATATAAATCAATTCAAGTATGTAGTATCACATATAATATGATTTATATTTCGTTAATTGATAGAAATTTAAAATAAAAAAAGCCCAAGTTTCATTTTAAGAATATGTTTCAGATATTCAGGTATAATCCGAAACTTTATATATAATATGAGTTGAGCATCAAATATTTGAATTTTTTTTAAAGGACACAATTATTATAACAAAAATCGTGTTTTGAAAGTACTTTAACCTATCGTATTATTATTTCGTTTGGTCTTCAGTTATTCTCTCGTGTGCTGTTACGAAGCCAACAATATGTTGGAAATTGATTGCGGTTTTTTCGGGAGGAAGTGCAATGTGCAGCAGTGATATCGGGCGACAAAATCGATGCCCCGCCGCGTCGGGTTCGAGATGAGTCAGTGAACTGCCAACCAAACATATTTAAAAATTTCCTGCGTAAAGTGCCGAGTCTCCTTTGCGGCTAATTCGTATTCTTATTCCGCGTTACACGTTACTCACCGTTATACGTAGTTGGTATTAAATGTTTTATATCATACTTATACAAAAATGGTTAGGTGAATCATCGTGTGTTCTCAATGAATCAACGTTTCAAAGGTGACAAATGACGTTATTTGCGAAGCTATTTTTTTATTTGTTATTTAAAATAACGTGTAATGAAATGCGATTGTCGAAACTGCTTAACGCCTATTTATTGTTTCAGCGTTATCAATCTGTGTAATATTGCGTGAAGAGAATCTTCTGTATTTCCCTGCGCGCATAAAATATTTAAAAAATTAAATACTTTAGAAACAGGAAGAGTGTAAAAGCTAAAATTTGAATGACAAGTGATTAAAATTCAAAATAAATTAAGTTAAAAAGTTAAGACGGTAATTATTTACATTATGGCCGCACACTTTGTTTTTTTTTTTAATTTGAAATGTTGCCAAACGAGCAGACGGTTCACCTGATGTTAAGTGAATACCGCCGCCCATGGACATCTGCTACACCCGAGGGTTACAGATGCGTTGACAACTTTTTAAAGATTGGTCTCCGGTTACCACACTCACCAGACGGAACGTGAAAGTATTTGTCATACTTCGACTTTACGCTGGTCTTCTGTGAGGTCGTGGTACTTACCCGGACGGGCCTGCCCATTCGCACAACAACCGAGGCTGCTGCGTGGCCCTACCACCGTAACATTGTTCACATGTAAATATTTTAAATCGATTGAATTTATTATTAAAATGAACATTGTAGTAAAATGCATCATTATGTTTAGATAACGCTTATGTTTAAATACTATATGTTTTATACGAATTCATATTGTACTTAATTTATACCAGCCAAAATTTTTGTTTCTGGAATTCGGTATGACCGGTATCAATTAGTAAGTAATGTTTACGATTTCCTTTTATTATCATTTGTCATGTTTTTCGATAAATTAAGATAACACACCCCAACGCGTGTGATAGTAACATCGGTGGTTATATTTGGTCGGTATAATAAACGTAATGTACCAGAGATAAGGTTGTAACGTGAACGATAACGCCATCGTACTCAAAAATGTGAACCTGGTTCCACACTAGGGACGAAAGGGTTTTAAAATAAACAAAATGGCTGTAGCTACGAAGTAAATGTTATAATTCGAACATCCATAGTCTATTATTATTACTTTTCTTATAGAAATACTTGCGACACCCAATAGCATTATTCTATACGTTTCTAAAACATGTTTGTGGATTCGTAAAAATTACTTTCAATAATAAAGTACTTTCAAAACACGATTACAAAAACGGTAATCATGCGTCACTCAAACATTTCCAAAGTCCTTTTGTTTACTTTAATTATTATAAAATGTTAAAAGCGCATAAAGATTTCCGCGAATAAATTACTCGTAGTATTATCACAGTCTTGTATCTGATAAAGAATATCTCCCAAATTATTCAGTTTTATTTGGTTTATTTTTTACCCTATATAGTTGTTATTATCGGAAGAAGAAAATTATTTTTTGTGCTTGCACAAAAGAGATTTCCTTCGGTTGTATACAATATAGTCCTGATGATTTGTAAACAATAAATATATTTTTATCAACAAAACACAGAACCGACTTCAAATATAGTGAGATATTTTAAGTCGGTTAATTAAGCATTTTAAATTTGATTTCAAGGAGTTTTTGTAAATTATGTAGGGATGCTGCATAGAAAACATCAAACGAATAAAGATATTTTTGAGGTGATACATTTTATAGGTATGTATGTACATTAGTTTATCCTTGAGGAATCCTTCAGTTAAAGCCATTAACTATAGCTGCAGAATATTGTACGTATTCAACAAATATTTCTTTGTAAGTTTAGCATAAAAAGCATAAATTGAAGAGGAAGAAATGGAAATCTGACACTAGTTAATAAAAAATAAAACCTTTATTACTACTATTATCCATTTGCCATTCGTTCGGCTGCGCGGGAGACGCTTTGACTGTGCTCGTATTTTAAGCGACCCCCTCGATCACGACGGAACTCCGACTTAGAGTACAGTCTCACCAACAATATACAATATCGCCGTTCTATTTCAGTACTAACCGGTAACCACACTACGGTACGCATACTGCGTAATGTCATCGGTGACGTTTTATGCAGCGCGCCATTTTTTAATTATGTCTCATTTATATTACTTTATCTTACTGCGACTAACAAGCACCTATTTAACTTATATAATTATGCTAAACTAAAGTTACACCATTCGTTTTCATGTTAGAAAAAATGTCAGTTACTAGCGTTCTCTTATTCGTTTGGTTGTTTAGGACAATAATTTATTTAAAAACTTGAAAGAGTATAACGTAACAAGCGACAAC